CGGCCGCCACCACTGCCACCGCCTCCACTCCCACAGCCGCCACCACTGCCGCCCCCACTAACGCCACTGCCGCCACCACCGCCGCCACCTGCACCTCCACCGCCCACCACCACTCCCTCCGCCACCGCCGCCCCCTCCACCGCCTCCACCGCCCCCACCACCGCCTCCACCTCTGCCGCCCCCACCACCCCTGCCTCCCCTGCCTCCCCTGCCGCTACGGCGCCTCCCACTAGGGGCAGACGCAGCTCCTACCCCCTCAGCACGAAGGTAGTCAACAGCTGCAGCAGAGGCGACTGAGGGGAGAAGGGGGGAGGGCGAACACCCCTCAAAGAAGGGAGTGCGAGGAGTGCCACGAGAAGCGCCTACAGCGACTATGCTAGTCTCAGCTGCAAGGAGGTGCTTCTCGAGCAGGTCGACAGTGAGGGTGGTGGGGTCAAGGGCGAGAAGGAGGTCCCTGACAGCGCTAAGGGAGTCAGGGAGGCGGGTGACTATGAAGTAGAGAGTGATGTACATGGGAGGAGGGTTCTTGGTGAGAAACTCGGCTAGAAGCGCAGTACGGTAGCGAGTGTCACTAGTGCGAAGGTGAGTGACTAGGTCGGCTACTGTGGCAAGGGCGGACAGCTCTGGGAACAGGTAGGGCAGGAGAAGGCGGCCTAGAGCAGCAGTGGCCGGCGAGGAGTAACGAGCAACTACAACGTCGTACAGTGCTTTCGCAGTCTTGTGCTGTCCGAAGTGAGCGCGTTCTGCTAACGGCAGGTGGTTGCGAACGGCTAGGCGAGCAGCAGCGCCACGAGTAAGCTACTGCGAGCGAGCTGTACTGTCAGCTGTGTCGGAAGGGGCGACAGAGGCGCCAGAAGTGAGGTCAAACAGCGAAATACCGTAAATGGAGTCGCTTAGTAAGAACAGCTCTAAGTCATCGAGCCAGGAGTCGAACTCTATCGGGCGGCCCTCCGAATCAAAGGTGAGGACGCTCAGGGTCGCCATAGCAGGCAGAGCAAGCGAGCGTGCTAGCAGTAGTGCAGCAGTGAGCGGCGCGCGGCAGGACAGGGCGCGCGACAGGGCAGGCCGTGCGGCAGGGCAGGGCGCGCGGTAGGGCAGGGCGCGGCGCTAAGGCAGGGCGCGCGGCAGGGCAGGGCGCGCGAAAGGGCAGGGCGCGCGGCAGGGCAAGGCGCGCGGCGGCACGGCTTGCGGGCAGGGCAGGGCGCGTGGCAGTGCGGCGCGCGGGCAGGGCAGGGCGCGCGGCGGCGCGGCTCGTGGGCAGGGCAGGGCGCGCAGCGCGGCGCGCGGGCAAGCAGGGCTCGCGGGCGCGGCGCGCAGGCAGGGCAGGGCACGCAGTGGCGTGGCGCGCGGGCAGGGCAGGGCGCTCGGCGCGGGCAGGACAGCGCGCGCTGCGGCGACGCGATGCGCGGGCAGGGCGGCGCACGCGGCGGGCGGCGCTCAGGCAGGGCAGGGCGCGCGGCGCGGCGCGCGGGCAGGGCAGGGCGCGCTGCAGCAGGCGGCGCGCTAATCAGCAGGGCGCGCTGCAGCAGGCGGCGCGCGGGCAAAGCAGTGCGCACTGCGGCGGGCGGCACGCGAGTAGGGCAGAGCGTGCGCAAGCAGCGCGACGCAGGGCAGTGCAAGGCAGGGCGGCTCGATCACAGCAGCGCGACGGGTGGGGTAGCGCTACTCGGTGGGCCCTAAGAAACCGGTCCTAGGCTAGGACCTGCTCTGAAACCATGTCAGAAATAACGAACGAGAATGTGTGAACTAGCAGCAGGATGGGTACAAGTAGGAAACCCTAATTGGGTTGTACCCCTTATGGGCTACCCCACTACAGCCTAAACAACAAGCAGCACATATAAGTTTGACAGCTAGCTGCTGATGGCGGCTAGTTGCTGGCGGCTAGCTGCTGCTGGCGGCGAGCTGCTGGCGGCTAGCTGCTGCCTAGCCGTGCAGCTGCAGTAACACGTGCTGCTGCCTAGCCGTGCCGCTGCAGTAACACGCGCTGCTGCCTAGCCGTGCTGCTGCAATGCGCGTGCTGCAGTGTCGTGCGCGGCTGCCGCTGGCTAACGCGCGCGCTGCTGCTGCTGGTGCGTGTGTGCCTGCTGCGTGCACGCGCGGCTGTTGCGGGCTAAGCACGACTACGCGGGTCCGCGGGGGGGGGTCCTTTCTGGAGCGCGACGAAACGAGGGGCCAGCGGGGCCCTTTAAACGCGACGAAAAACGAGGCCCGCGGGGGCCTTTGAACGCGACAAAAACGGGGCCCGCGGGGGTCGTTCTACCCGCGACGAAACGGAGCCTAAGGGACGGGCGCCTTGGGACCGGCTAAGGGAGGGAGCGGAAGCGTGGGAGGGAGAAAAATTACATGCTCTCATACCATCTTAAAATAGGCTAGGAACAAGTGTTGAGAGAATTGTGTGAGGTGGAAAGTCGAGGGGGATACAAAAGTTAACCTAGGATGGGTTGTACCCTCTAAGGGCAGCTTACTGTAGCCTTGAAACCTAACAATGCATATGAACATTATTTGACACAGACCTAACCAAGGTACGGCAGGTACGGCAGTAGGTACGGTAGTAGGATACCATGTTAGAATGATAGGCGAGGGAATCAATGACTATGGAAATGAGAAGTACAAGTACCAACCCTAAAAGGGTTGTACCCTATGTAGGCTACCCCCACTACAGCCTGTAACTAACGAATATAGTTTGACAGCACGACGTTGCCTGCAGCAGAGGAAACCAACCACGAACCTTTTGGCTTTGTGCGCTTTGTGGCAAAAAAAAAACAAGTGGGGGACAGAATTCGGTGACAACGATGCATTACAGCCTAAACATCCACTACAAAAACTGCCGGCGCTGCGCTGCGGCGCCGCAACACAGTGGGGACTTGACTGCTGATATAGAAAGTTTCGGCGCCAATCATAGCAAAAATGCTATAATCACGGAAGTTTCTGTTTCCGGGTCAAAGGCGATACAGCGTTGATTCATCAGTGTCCTAAAACACAAAACTATTGTAGTTATTTGTTGCGAATTCCAAAACACTGAAAATTCAGTATCAATAAAAATAAAACGCCGAAACTTAAGGGTCAATTCACAAAACCACCATGAAAATGAAGAAAATTAGGTCAATAATCATGACTTCTCATGGCCTGGCCATGGCTAATATAATGACATATATGAAATCTAATTGTTTTACACCAAAGTGTACATCTCGTCGATTTGAATCGAATCAAAACTATACAGGGCTGTGAATGAGAACCTCGCGCAAGTTGGCAGGGAACACCCGCCGTTCTGGAAATAAAACCCGGATGACACAATCCTCCGAATATATCTCAGCGGACAAGCGAGTCCGCCCGGGGGAGCTCATTGCCAGCGGGCAAAAAAAAAGAAAAAAACCCATTCGGGCATGCATCCGGTCAGGGAGGCATCAACCCTAAACACAGGGAGGCATGGATTTAGGGTTGATGCCTCCATCGGATGACATGCCATCCGATAGGGTTTTAGTTTTGTTCTGCCCGGGACAGCATGTCGTCAAGTCGTCAATGGGTCGTCAGGGTTGACGACCCGTTTCCGCTGGGATATTCCCCGTAACGTGTTTACTCTCCAATGTCTGGACAGAGGACCACCCGTCCGGGTTCCAGTGTTACCGTTCGGACCAAATCTGACAATTTTCTGCTAAAAAGTGGTCCGAACTAACCTGCTGACACCGTCCGAACAGCATTTCGGACCGTCTGTTTTGGCTGCGCTGTTATTGGTGCGCGAAATGGTTGATAACCTCACTCACTATCGTGGCTCGGAATTTTGGTTGCGACAATCACGAGTGCTATAAGATTTCTTTAATGCGTGGTACATTTAGAAAGTGCAAAAGTTTCACATTTGTGATTGGCCTGAGTCCCAAACGTCCGGACAGAGCTCCGTTTGGACGTTTTGGAGGCTCCGTCCGGACATTGGACGGAAACGGAAAAAGTTACGCGCCCTTGCAATTTGGTCCCAGACCAGACCAATTGGTAGACATGGGCCCAAACCTTCTGTCCATGCGTGAATGCGGGTGTAGTTGATCAAATTGTCTGGCGGGAGGGAACTATTTTGGCCGTCACCGCTATGAAACATTGCGCACCAGACTGAAACGTCGAAATATGCAACGAAAACATGTGATCCGCACCGCACTAAAAAATCAGCATCGCGTCATCTCCTGACTCCTGGCCTCTCTCTGCCGGCTCCTAGGAACAAACCGCTTGTTCATTACTCGCCACACAACACAGCCCCCCACACTGAAGCCTAGCCGCTCAAACGTCACCAGGTGGCAAATCTGCGACGTGCAAGGAATCACAACCATGAGTTTTTGCAGTTCTGGACTGTGCACATGGAAAGAGTTGGTTGGTAAGGCCAGGCCAGTCCACACCCAACAGAACTGGACCGCAGAGTTAGTGCGGAAGAATCGCGACGCGTGACCTGCGGAGTAACCTGGGCTTGCAATCGCACCGCAGAACATGGAACGAGCAGAGCTTGAAGGTCACCTTCCGGGGCTTCTTCTTACTATACGCTCTTACTTCACAACTGGAGATCGGTGGGTTATCCAGAGGTGCAGTGTTTCATTCCCACGCCGTGTGAAGTCCGCCGAGGCGAAAAAGGCAAACTCTGCGGCAGAGGCTACACCTTTCCCACGTCACTAACTTAGCGACGCGAAATAATTTGAAGGGTAAGGCGGACGTGCGAAATGGGGGACAGAAGCCGTCTAATGGCGGTCGTGTCCGTTGTCCTCCTCATTCCGCTCGTTCAAGCTTTCATGCCACGCCATGCCACCCACGCATCCACGCCGCAGCCCACGCAATTTGAGATCTCCCTGCGAAGGACATTGGAGATGCCCGAGCAGCAGAGGCGCCAGCACGCGGACCTCATCCTCGAAGAGGCTCGCGACGCGGAACGCGAATTCGAAGACCGCGGACGGCGCGGCGAGCGCGTTCTGGTGGACACGGGAGTGAAGCTCGGGCTGTCTGCGCCGCCGCTTAACTCGGGGCCGAGCATGGCGGTGGTGAACATGTCGTTCTACCGCTGGGAGAGCGTCGCGCCGCCGCCCGTCGTGGACTGGCGGAAGACCGTCGCCATCACGCTCATCCAGACGCAATATGTGGTGCGTACTCCGCTCACGCCTCCTCGCAAGTCTGGTTCCGTCACGATTACTATGTCTGTCACCCCTTAGCCTCAGAATAAGCCTCGGCTCCCGACACGAAGCAACCTGGTATGACATCAATGATTGACTCGATCCAGCGTTTCGAGTCGTCGCACTTCAATTGCTAGTATGAAGCTATTCGTGGTCAGCCCCAACCCGTCGCTCTTCCTCACGCCCTTCCGCAGTGCTCAAGCTGCTGGGCGATTGCGGCCGTCGATTCCATCGCCATAATGTGGGCGATCGCCAACAACGGCGTCGGGACGAATCTGTCGCCGCAGCAGGTGTGCGACTGCGCGACGAAGCAGTGCTGCCAGGGCGGGTGGCCCGAGTGGGCCTTCTCCTACGTGCTCTTCAACGGCGGCGTCACGTCCAACGCCAACTACCCCTACCTCGCCTACGATTCCGCCACGTGTCTGCTCGACACTACCATGCCGTCTGTGGCGCAGATCACGGGGTGGGAGCTGGTGCCGGCATTCAACGCCATGGCGCTCATGAAGGCCGTCAGCATGCAGCCCGTCGTCGCCTTCATCAGCGCCTCCGCCGCCGACTTCACCGTACGCCCTTCGTCCCCCTCCCGCTCGCCGCGTTTCCCCGCTCACACCGTTTCCCGATTCCTCGCGTTTCCCCGCTCACATCTTTGACCCGGCGATTCCCCGCGATCCCCAATCCCATCGTTTCCTATTCCCCGCGTTTCCCCGCTTACACCGCGCCCCGATTCCCCACTTTTCTCCGCTCACACCCGATTCCCCACTTTTCTCCGCTCACATCGCTTAACTGTTCCCCTCGTTTCCCCCCTCACACCGCTTCAATTTCCCGCGTTTCCCAGCTCACACTGTTCCCAGACTCCCTCGTTTCCCCGCTCGCGCCGTTTCCCGATTCCCCGCGTTTCCCCACTCGTACCGCTTCACTACGTCCCGCATTTCCCCACCCGCACCGCTTCGCGACTCCCTGCGTGTCCCGTGCCTGTCGACCCCTGTCTCAACGTGCAGGCATACTCAAGCCGCAACGTGCTGAACATTTACAACGGCGTGTGCTCGACGGACGTGAACCACGCGGTGGTGGTGGTGGGCTTTAACTACACGGGGCAAGACCTCAAAGGCAGCTACTGGATCATCAAGAACTCGTGGTACACCACGTGGGGCGACCGCGGCTACATGTACCTCGCCATGACGCCCGACGTGCGCGGGAAATGCGGCATCTTATCGTACGTTCCCGGACTCTATCTTCCACTCACGAGGCTCCTGTTGCGTGTCCGCCCGGACCTTGCAGTTCCCTCCAAACCAGACCTTCCCAGCTTGTTGAAATTCTGTTTGTCCATCTATTTATCGGTTCCCCCGTTTATGGTAAACGAACCCCCGTTTCCGCGCAGAACCCCCGCCATGTACCCCGTCTACTTCCCATCCGGGCAGCAGCCGGCACGCTTTGCGTCCGACAAAGGCGGAAAGTGGAAAATCAACAAAGTTGACGACCTCTCGTCGTCGCTCTTCTCCTCCACCCTTTCATCCACCACCACCACTACCACCACAATTAGTACAACCGCCCTGAGCACGACGTGCGCGGGGATGATCAACCCGTGCGGCGGGGGCAGTTGCTACATCAGCGGAGGAGTTCCGCGGTGCAACTGCAACGCGACGGCGAATATGGTTGAGGTGCTGGGAGTGCCCACGTCCAAGTGCGTGCCGCGAAGTCCCTGCACGACGGCTCCTGTGAATCCCTGCGCTGGCGGAACGTGCACGGATGTGGGCGACGGGACGTACACGTGCGCGTGCACAACGGGTTTCGCCATCGGCGCAGCTGTCGACGGTTCGCCGACGTGCATTCCCGCGACTGGCCTCGCGAAATCCTATGTTACCAACCCTGGCGACAACTGCACGTTTGTCGCGACAGCTTTCGGAATTTCGATCACCGCGCTGACAAACCTGAACACCTTCATTAACTGCTCCGTTACAGAATACCTCCCTCCCGGAATTGCACTTACAGTATCGGCAACACTAAACTCCTCATCCTCATATTGCACCAACACATACACTGTCCGACCTCAGGACTCTTGCACTTCCATAGCAAACGCTTTTTTCAACGGATCTCTCACTTCCCTTATGGCAAGCAACCCTGGCTTATCGTGCAAGCGCTTGTTCAAGTCGGAGCAAATATGCCTCCAAATGGTAACCGCATCTGCAACATCATCGGCTGTACAGTGCGGGCAAAGCGTCGACGTGGTTACGGGAGACACTTGCGCATCGGTTGCCCTTAAATATTCAGTTGACTACGCAATTGTCATATCGTGAGTATTCCAAACTCATCCTGAAATCCAAAGTGTTGTGTCCCATCCTCGCCGCTTCCCCCTTCTCCCCTTGCAACACTGTTTCCCTGTCCCCCTCGATTTCTCCGGGTTCCCGCGTATCCACGGTCACTCAAGCCATGCAGACCCTCTCCCTGCAATTCCGCTCCATTGCAGGCTCAACCCAGCAGTCAACTGCAACAGCACTCTTGCAGTGGGCTCCTCTCTCTGTGTGGCGTCAAAATCAGCTCTGGTAAGAGCCAAGAAGATGCCTTCCCTTCATCTCTCACTGATCACCTCCTACCGTGTAAATCCGGACCTCTTGTGTCCATTTTCCCTTGACAGGGCATGCAATTTACTCTCCCTTCCCCTTCTCGCACCCCCATCCCCCCCTGCTCCCCGCAACCATCAACTGAACTGGGTTCTTATCTCTGGCTCCTCCCCCCCCCCTATCTTCCCTGCCTCCCCCTAACCCCCTCTGCCTCCCCTTATCCCCCTCTGCCTCCCCCCTTCTCCATCCGTATCCCCCCTGCCGCCTGTGTGCAGACGAGCCTTGACTGCACGGGGTGGTACCGGGTGATGCAGGGCGACACATGCCCCTCCATCTGGAATGGAGCCAACCTCACCATGTCCATGTTCCAAGCCATCAACCCGGGCATCCAGGTAAACCATTAACCCTTGCATCCGGGTACCTTCCTTGCACCTTCACATACTGCCCCTTCCGATCCATTTGAAGTACTGTCCCACACAGGATTTTTTATATATATATTTATTGTACCTCAACCCTTCCCCGATCCATTGTACTGCATTCAGGTGTGTTGATGGCTTATTTCCTCAGGTTTTGCCTTGTCCTCCGCGCAATGAACGTGCCGTTTTTATTTACTATTTCTTTCTTTCTTTGCTTTTGCCACCTTTTCCACTTATTTTCATGCATGCCATGCTGTCCCTAGATTGTTCATCATCATTATCCCCACCCCCGTTTGCAACTTCAATCTCCATGTCCACCTCTTTCTGACTCCTCTTGTTCCCCCCCTGCAGTGCCAGGCGCCCTACCTGGTGGTGGGACAGCAGGTCTGCATCGATGCACCCGTCCTCATCACCATGCAGCGATCTCCCAATGCCAACTACTCAATCTACACCGTCCGTGCCAACAACACCCTCTCCACCATCTCCTCCCAGTACCTCACCCGCTGCACAACACTCTCTGTTTCCCCCGCTGCCATCGCCGCCCAAAACTTCATCGCCAACGCGTCTGCACCACTCCCTGTAGGCACGAACCTCATCATCCCCTGTATTGGCGGCGTCGGTATGATCGACGCCGGCTGTGCGACGTCTCTCACAGTGTGCGGAGCGGATTTTATCTCGTACCCGTCGTACTGCCACGCAGCCGTGAACTACGGCCTTTCCCTATTCCAGAATGGCCCGTGTGACAAGTGTGGGGCGGCATGTGTTGGCCGCATGGGGTTGGCCCCCGCTGGCGGGTTCGGCTGCACGCAAGCCATCTGCCCGTATCCAACCTGGACGTTAAGTTCAGACTGCACTCTAGGAGATGGCAACAACGTTACGTCACCGTGCTGCAACTACCGGAAGACGATTTGCTTGAAGCAGTGCGGCCTAGTTGCTGATACTTTAGGCGGTACCAACGCAACCAAGACTTCAAACTACAACGACTGCATGGGCAATTGCATGTGCTGCGGTATGTTCCCGTGTGGGGGGTCATGGACGTGCACCACGTGGAACAACGCCTGCTATCAGACCTCCCCGCGCACCTGCACGTACGCCATGGGACAGGGTTACACGTTCACCTGCAGCTACTATCCTGCTGCGGTCCCCTTGCTTTAAGAGTTCCCTGCGGGGGCTCCCTGTAAGGGCTGCCTGTAAGGGCTCCCTGTATGGCTGCCTGTGGGGGCGGCCGCCTCTGCTTTGATTGCTGCTTGCCTGGCTCTTGGAATATGTGTGCATGGGGTGACGGTGTGCATGGGGTGATGGTGTGCATGGGGTGATGGTGTGCATGGGGTGATGGTGTGCATGGGGTGATGGTGTGCATGGGGTGATGGTGTGCATGGGGTGCTAGTGTGCATCGGGCCGGGGCGACGTCCGGGGGGGGGGAGGGGCGCCGCGACGAACAGGGGCAGTCGCGGCGCGCGAAGCCGCCGCGGGCTGCGCGAGGACAGCAGCTGCGGCGCGCGGGGCTGCAGCGTGACGCGCGAGGCTGCAGCGCGACGCGTGGGGCTGCAGTGCGACGCGTGGGGCTGCAGCACGCAGCGCGGGCTGCGGACGCGGCACGCGGAGCAGCAGCGAGCCGCGCGCGAGCTGTTGCAGGGCGGGGCCAGGTGGGGCCGCGTCAGTGGCAGGTCGTGGCCGCGAGGAGGGGCGGCGCTCTGGCCTGACGGGCCTGCAGGGGCGGCTCGCGGGCCTGCAGGGGCGGCTCGCGGGCCTGACGGGCCTGCAGGGGCGACGTGCGGGCCGTACGAGTCTGCAGGGGCGCTGCGCGGGCCTTACGGGCCTGTAGGGGCGGCGCGCTGTCCTAGGGCAGCAGTAGGCAGCGCGAGGGCTGCAGGACGGCGCGCGCAGCGCAGCACGTCACAAGACAAGGCAGGCAGGCAGGCAACACGTGGGGTAGCGTGGTAACCGCAACGGTAGGTGGGCCCGGAAAAAAAAAAGACGGTCCTACGGACCTAGTGCTCTGAAACCATGTTAGAAACTAGCAGCAGGAATGAAATGAACTATGAAAGAGTTGGGTACAAATATGAAACCCTAAAAGGGGCTGTACCCCATATTGGCTACCCCACTACAGCCTAAACATATACAGCAGATATATCATTTGACATGTCACTGCCTGTCAAGGCCACTATCACGGTAGTCGCAGCGGCTAGGGGTGGACAGCAGCAAGCACTGCCTCTCCCGGACAACCCCACCCCTCAGTAGCTTCGTGAGTGGGTTATTCAGCGAGGCAGTCCTAGTGGTGGAGGTTTTGGTTTTATGGGTACTGCACAGCGGCGGCAGCAGCGTCCGCAGGGCACCTTCTCCCTGCAGCGGCTTCGCGAATGTGCTTCTCAGCGATGCGTCCCTTGTTGTGTAGAGGCTGCTGCTCTAGGTGCTAGTGAGTCTGCTGCAGCTCTAGGTGCTCGTGAGTCTGCCGCCGCTCTAGGTACTAGTGCGTCTACAGCCACAGGTCCTGCCTTAGCTGAAGCCTTGCACACTTTCACACTTGACTCAGGCGCGTCACGTTGCTTCTTTCGTGATTGCACCACAGTCACACCACTCGCAGCACCTGTCCCAGTCTCATTGGCTGACCCCACTGGGGGCCCCGTAGTCGCGCGAGCCTCCACCGTCCTCCCGTGTCCGGCGGTCCCCTCCGGGTCTCTCTCAGGTCTCCACCTCCCTGCGTTCTCGACGAACTTGTTGACCAACGCAGTTCTCCAGGATGTATGGGTTGATACCTTTATTCCTGGAGGACAACGTGTGGCGATCTATACGTGCTCACGGACTGGCCGTCACCTTGCTACATTCACTCGTCAGCCTGGGTCCGGTCTGTACACACTGACCACTGAGTCTGCACAGGTGGCTGCATCAGGTCAGGCGACTGCGTCGAGTCAGGTGTCTGCGTCTGGTCAGCTTGCAGCGTCTTGCTCGTGTCGGTTACTCTCCCACTAGACTCTCCTCTGGCACCACCGCCTCGGTCACCCCTCGCTGCCGCGTCTCCGCAGCATGCACTCCCGTCTTCTTGTCTCCGGCCTTCCCAGGCCCCTGCCCGCCCTCCCGCGCTCGCCTGCCCCGCCGTGCCTTCCTTGCGTCGAGGGGCGGCAGCGCGCCGCTCCTCACTCCACCGAGTTTCCTCCGACCACTGCTCCTCTGCAGACGCTCCACATGGACGTGTGTGGCCCGGCCCCTGTCAGTGGAACGGACCAAGAGCGCTACTTCCTGCTGGTTGTTGACGACTACACACGCTACACCACCGTCTTCCCCTTGCGGCGCAAGGCGGACGTCAGCGGTGTTTTGATCCCCTGGATCCGTGCTACTCGTCGCCAGCTGCGCGACCGGTTTCGGCAGGGCTTGCCAATCTTGCGTCTGCACGGTGAGTTCTCTTCTAGCCTCATTGAGGAGTTCAGTCAAGACGAGGGCATCCGTTAGACATTCACGCTTCCGGCCTCTCCTCAGAAAAAATGGGATTGCTGAGCGTCGCATTGGCCTGATCATGGAGGTTGCTCGTACCTCCATGATCCATGCGGCTGCTCCCTATTTTCTGTGGCCGTTTGCGGTCCGATACGCCGCGCATCAGCTCAACCTCTGGCCCCGTGTCTCTTTGCCAGAGACCTCGCCCACACTCCGTTGGACAGGAGAGGTTGGCGATGCATCGGCGTTTCGGGTCTGGGGTGCGCTCTCCCTTGTTCGCGATACCACCGCGAGCAAGCTCTCTCCTCGCACTCTTCGCTGCGCCTTCCTGGGCTTCCCCACCGACGCCCGGCCGTGGCAGTTTTACCACCCTCGCTCGTGTCACCTTTGACGAGTCAGTCTGTTTCTACAGGCTACACCCGCACGTGTCCCACCCGTTCCCCCTAGCGCCTCTCTTCCTGGTACCAGTCCCCCCCCGGGTAGACCCACTCCCCCCACAGGGTCCTGCTCCCTCAGGTGTGTCTCGGGTAGACCCACCCCCCTTAGATGAGCCTGTGGAGATCTCCTCTGACTCCTCTGGCCCAGCTGAGGGGGGTGACCCTGCCGCGGACGACACGGCGGCCACGCGCCGCTCTCCTCGCTTCGAGACCCCCCCTGGTTTTCCGCCGAGGCTGTCTTCACCGCCTCAGCAACCTGCTGCTGTGGACTCTGGAGCTGCTGCTGGTGGTGACACTGGGGGTGAGGGTTCTGGGGGTGCTGAGACAGAGGGTGAGGGTTCTGGGGGTGCTGCGACTTGGGGTGCTGACTCTGGGGATGTTGCGAGTCCTAGTGGCGGTGGAGCTGTGGGTGACCCGGCTGGAGGTCCTGGAGCTGGACAGCCACAGCAGCCTGGTCTACTCGAGACGCTCTCGCCGCAGCAGATTCGTGCGTGGATCGTTTGGCGAGGCAGTCCTGGTGGTGGAGGGTACGGTCCTGCTGGTGCTGGAGCTGCTAGTCCTGGAGGTACTGCTGGTGCTGGAGGTGCTGGAGGTACTGCTGGAGGTGCTGGAGGTGCTGCTGGTGTTGGAGGTACTGCTAGAGGTACTAGAGGTGCTGCTGGTGCTGGAGGTGCTGGAGCTGCTAACCCTGGAGGTACTGGAGGTGCTGCTGGTGCCGGAGCTACTAGTCCTGGAGGTGCTACTGGTGCTGGAGCTTCTAGTCCTGGAGGTACAGCTGGTGCTGGAGGTGATAGAGCTACTGGCACTGGAGGTGTTGGTTCTGCTGGCACTGGAGGTGCTGGTTCTGCTGGTGCTGGAGGTGCTGCTGGTGCTGGAGGCGCTGGTGCTGGAGGTACTGGAGCTGCTGGAGCTGCTGGTCCTGGAGGTGCTCGTATTGGAGGAGCTGGAGCTGCCGGAGGAGGTGGTGCTGCTGGTGCTGGAGGTGCTGGAGGTGCTGCTGGAGGTGCTGGGGGTACTGGAGGTGCTGGTCCTGGAGGTGCTCGTACTAGAGGTACTGGAGCTGACGGAGCTGGTGGTGCTGCTGGTGCTGGAGGTGCTACTGGAGCTGCTGGCACGGGAGGTGCTGGTGCTGCTGGTGGTGGAGGTGCTAGAGGTGCTGCTGGTACTGGAGGCCCTGGAGCTGGAGGTACTGGAGGTACTGGAGCTGCTGACAGTACGAGTATTGCGCCGCGCCGACCATTTTTCCACCCGCAGCCGCAGTCGTCCCTTCCACCGCCTGACTCAGCCCTTCGCCAGGTTCTTAGTCTCCCATTTTCCACTGGCCTCACTCCACCTCTCTTGTGTCCACCGACAGACCAGTCTCAGCCACAGCTACTGCCTGGCTCCCCGCTGCCTGCTCCTACTCCTCACACTGAGGTGACTGAGTCCCTGACTGAGCTTCGTGAGCCTGAGACTCGTGCTTCCACACCTGTTCGTGCTCGTCGTATCGCCCGTCCTCGTCCTCCTGCTATCCCAGGCCTCACGGTATGGCACTTCGTCCTTCCTCTGTTCCACAGCGTGTTGTCCTGCCTGAGCCTCCCGCTACCTCTCTTCTGCACGTTCCAGACCCTGAGTCCGACCTTGCTCGTGTTGCCAGTCCTACTGTCACTCGTCTCCTCGCTACTGTAGTCACTGACCCTGACTTTGAGTCTACTGCTGCGTTCGCCCTAGTCACTGAGCTAGTCGACTTTGCAGCTCGGAGTCGTCTCGACTACGTCGCGAGTCTTGTTACTGAGTCTGAGTCTGTCTGTCCTCCGTCCGTCGGGGGTGAGCTTGGCAATGACGTCCTTGAGGACAGGCAGTTTGAGCTTGAGTGTCTTGCGGCCGTTTTACCTCGTTTCGCATCCATGCTGCTTTGCCCTGAGGAAGACACGGATGCACTTGACATCCCTACCCCGCGCTCTTACGCTGAGGCGATCGCGGGTGAGTACTCCTCTCAGTGGCAGACAGCCATGTACGCAGAGATGGTTTCCTGGAAGTCCACAGGCACCTACGTCGACGAGGTTCCTCCTCCTGGGGCGAACATAGTGGATGGCATGTGGACTTTCAGAGTGAAGCGGCCGCCGGGTTCTCCGCCTGCCTTCAAGGCGCGTTACGTTGCTCAATTTGCTCGAGGCTTCAGTCAGCGACAGGGGGTCGACTACTTCTAGACCTTCTCCCCCACTCCGAAGATGACTACTCTTCGGGTGTTGCTGTACATTGCAGCACAGCGTGACTACGAGTTGCACTCCCTCGACTTCTCCACAGCTTTCTTGCAGGGCAGCCTTTACGAGGAGATCTGGCTGCGCCGCCCACCTGGCTTCACTGAGTCGTTTCCTGCGGGTACCCAATGGAGCCTCCGGCGGCCAGTCTATGGTCTCCGCCAGGCGCCCCGCGAGTGGCACGACACACTGA